GGTCCCATTTCACATGGAATTAGCACCACACCCGTTTATTCCATGCCCCTTTCCTACCTCCAGATGAAGGCATTGGAGAAGGGACCCAGAATCTGGAAGCCGGTGGATCTCACCGCAGCCCTCGTGGATTGGCCATGGCCATGGATCTCACCGCAGCCCTCGTTGGGCAAGGAGTCCTCCAGGGTCTGAGGCCTCCATTAGCGACCGCCCCCACCGTTCGGGGGGGGCCTGGCTCACGGAGGGAAACATCGACCTGGAACCGGCGGCCCTGACTTCGAAACCGCCGTACTTTGGCCGATGGTTCGACTGAAATGCAGCGGACATGCACCCCAAACGATGCGAAACAGTGGGGCGGAAATCCCGCCGCAGAGAAGTAGGGCGAATCTGTCTGTAAAGGCATAGCGAAAACAGCGACAGCAAAGTGGGGCGGACATCGCTATCTAAGGAGCTTGAAAGGTTTACGACATCGCCCAGACCGTACGACGAATCCAAAGTCAGGGCGAGAGGGAAGTAGAGTTAAGTCGGGCCTGTCCGGACTTTGGACGAAGAATGGAAAATTATCAAAAATGCTCCAAATTGGTTAAAAATCATAAAGGAGATCGTCCCCTGACTATTTTCCCTATTTTTGAATATTCCTCCTGTAGAGAGACACGCCCGACTTAATACTGGGGGGCGGGACCGGCGCAGGGGGAAAGCGCCCTGGGATCGGCGATACACAACCGACTGCTCGGCGAAGGGCCCCCGATAGTGAACCGTACGGTCCCGAGCAGCGTAGAGCTATCGGGCCCCTATCGGCGTTCCATGGGCGATCGGGGGCCGCCGCATCCCTCCAGGAGCATCCTCCCCCCCCCTCGCGTTTTTCCCCTGAGAGGGGGGGGGCAGTGGCAGCGGCGGCAGCTGGAGCGTGGGAAGGGGAGGATTTCGCGACGTCTGACAAAAAAGGGACGGGGAGGAGGGGCCCTGGCCGTGACTCCTCACGGTGTTGCACTGTGTTCGGAGCATCAGCTCTCGGCGCGGGGAGGAGGCCCGAGAGAAGGAGAAGCGGCAGCGCCTGCCGGGAAGGCCTCTGCAGACTTCTGTGCAAGTGGGTCCGATGTGGCCCCGTCCTCCGAGCGGCACCCCATGGGTGGCGCGGATGCCACCTGCACCACCCGGGGAGCTGCCACTCGGCAGCAGGAGGTTGGAGGCATGGAGGGGTTGGAGGAAGCAGAAGGGGGGGGGGGGGGGGCACGAATCTCTTGGGCCGGCGCTGGGCCCCGCTTCCGACCGGAGGATGGGGAGAAGGGTGGGGGAGGAAGCGGAGGGGAGGAGGGAGGAGAAGGCAGGGGGCCGCTGCGCCATCTAGAGTGGCCGGCGCGAGGGCCGCGCGAGAGGAGAGAGGAGAGCAGTGAGTACTCAGACTGAGCAGCGGCAGGAGAGAGAGAGAGAGAGAGACAGAGAGAGAACAAAAAGAAAGAAAGACGAGAGGCACAACAAAAAACGCCTCAACCTCTTCGCACCTTTTCGCGACGTCGGATCTCAGAGTCGAAACTTGCTGGACGGTGTCGTTGGTTTTTCGAGGCTTTCTCACATCGGGTTGAGTTCCAGCAGCTGCGCCTCGCCCATCCCGCTCTGGAGGTGCCCGAAACGCCCCCAGCGGCCGCCAGAGGCCCGAAGTGTGGCCCGGAAACCACGCGGGAGGAGGGGAGATCATATCTCCTCACATCGAGAAGCATTGCGTTCTTCGACGAGCGCCTTCCACTACTCGCAAAGTAACTACTCGCAAGTGGCCTGGATCCCCCGCGGGGGGTCTACGATATATTACATCAAAGCGGACATGTGTTTTTCGGACGTTTGCGAGTAGGCACCTTGCGAGTAGTGAAACGCGCTCGGTGAGTTCTTGTCGTTTCGGCAATATTCTTCCTCACTGGGCCCGAGGGCCGCAAAACAACTGCCGGGTGTTGCAAAGCCGGCTCCAGCCAAGGGGTCTTGACCTCTCGGGGCCCACGCTGCGCTGATTGCTTAGACCAGACTCGCATACGAATCGATATGTATACAACGACGTCGGAAATCTGGAAGTGGGGAGGAGGAGGAGGAGGAGGAGGAGGAGGAGGAGGAGGAGGAGGAGGAGGCCCCAGAGGAGGCCATGACTTCTCTCCTCCTTCTCTCGAGAAACACAAAAAAACATGAACGCAAGCTTTCGCAGGTCCGCGCGGATTGCTCGGATCGGCGCTGGATCGAAGACTAAGCCAAGATGAAGATACATTCGGGTAAGGGTATATCCAGAATATCTGAGATCCGGAGGCTCTGCAAGATGTCTCGGGCGCTGCGGCCTTCTCAGAGCGTTCCAGAACGCTCTGAGAGCGTTCTGGATAGCTCTGGAACGGAGTTGTCCTCGTCCTGGCCCCGTCTGAGGATCCCCCTTCCCTGGCGCGCCGATCGCGTCGGATGCAGCACCTCAGGCGCAGCCAGCGCGGCCAGCGCCCATGCAAGAAATTCGCGCGGACATCCCCTCCTCCTCCTCCTCCTCCTCCTCCTCCTCCTCGTCCTCCTCCTCCTCTTTCTCCCTCTCCTCCTCCTCCTCCTCCTCCTCCTCCTCCTCCTCCTCCTCCTCCTCCTCCTCCTCCTCCTGCTCCTCCCTCTCCCCTATCTTCTTCCAACCCCCCCTCCACCCCTTCCGACAGCACGTGCCCAACCCCCCGCGGATCCGAGGGGGGGGGGAAGCGATAAATGTCCCATCCAGAGTATGGGCAGATGTTGCGGATGCTAAAACATCCCCCTGATGGGAGGAGACGGATGAGGAGCAGAAGAAAAGATGAGGAGGGATGGGGAAGGGAAAGAACTTAATTCCTCATGCGCTTTCTGCAACTCCCGTGTGGGGGGGGCTCGTCGCCGCGGCTGGCATAGCCTCGACATCTTGGTCTAAGTGCTGCCCAAGAGACGTCGGCTGAGGGCAACCTCTCCATGCCTCAACGCGTCGCGAAAGAAAACGATGGGACACACCTCTACGACCACCCTTCGGATGACAAGGAGGTTGTGGAGGGGGGAGGGGCACCTGTTGACAGCTGCAATGGCGTGGTGGTGACGACGCTAACGACGACGATCTCGCTACAAGACACAAAAGCATCAAGGATACCAGCGGAACTAGGTGGCAATCATTTGCCCACGCGCTCGTTCCTTCAGGAAGCAAGCAAGACAATTGGGGCACCACGAGACACCACGATTGATCTCACTATCGATCTCGCTATCGATCGCACGATCGATGCCACTATCGGTCTAGGTGGCGTTTGATTTCCCTGGCACCTATTTCCTCGAAGACATATTACGAACGTACAGGACAGTCTGTGCGGCCATCTACCTACCACTCCGGCCATCGATCTATCATTCGGGACATCCAGCAACAGCAAATTCGGGAAACTAGCGGAACGCGGTGGCTTTTATTTGCCCAGGCGCTCTTCTCTTTAGGAAAACATGCCAAGAACACACGAGGCCGCAAGGCACAGTGAGACACCACGGGCCAACACAGAAGACCACGATCGATCCTACTATCGATCCCCCTCTATCTAATGATACCATGCTCCATCGACCTCACTATCGATCTCACTGTATCGCACACCTCGCTATCTATAGATCTCGACGTCGACCTCCCTAACAATCTCACTGTCCGTGTCTCTAATTACCGCACTATCGATCTCGCACTAATTATGTCTACATACCGACCTCAAAATCGATCTGAAGATCGAGATCCATCTATCTATCGATATCACGACCCATCGATCTCACAATCGACCTCACCCTCGATCTCACGATCGATCTCACAATCAAGCTGTTTGTCAATCGATACCATTATCGATTTCACTACCGGTCTCACTTTCGCAAGATCGATCTCACTATCGACCTCTACGGGACACCACAGGACACCGCGGAACACCGCGCCACCGGACAACACGGGACATCTCAGGACACCACGGGAAACGGACGGGACACCCCCAGGCCACCGCCGGCCAACCGGGGTAGGAGAGAGAGATATTGAGGCGGGTTTCGTCCTAGCCAGGGCGGGATCGTTCCGCCCGCCCGCCCACACAGCTTCGTCTCGCCCGCAGGCACGGCACGAAACCGAAACCGATTTCCCGTTGGGGGGCCCTCCGTTTCCCTGCGATCTCGCCCCCCAGTCTCCGACTGCGCTGGGGCCGCTCCTCGTTACCTGGGCCACCAAAAGTAAACCGCCGGGAGACGCTACCGCTATGTACATTCCCTTGTCGGCGCTTGCGCCAGAGGGGTCTTCGCGAAACTGACGAGCAAAACGGTGGGCGGCCAGGTTTCTGGGCTCCTCGTGCTGGGTCCTGGGCCCTTGACAGCCGAGCTCGGTGGGCAGCCAAGTTCCCAAGTTCCGGCTTCGGGGTCTCGGTGAAAATCCCCCGCCCATTCTAATTGGCGGCCGGGTCCCTGGGCCTCTTGGGTAGAGAGTGCAGAGAGTAGAGAGTGGAGAGAATGGCAACAGTAGGCTCTCATCGTAGACAGTAGGGCAGGCAGAAAGGCGATGAGAGAGCAGAGGGCATGCAGTAGATAATGAAGATCATGTTGCTCATAGCAGGGAATACAAGGAATGGATCAAAGCGCTGAGAACAGAGTGCAGAAAGCGGAGAGCAATTAGTAGGGAGCCGAGACTTCGGATGCGAGGCTAGAGAGTAAAAAAGGCTGACTACACACACATATATATATATATATATATAAGAATATGGACATATTATATCTACATAGTCAGGAATCGAGGGTGAAGGGTCGAATTCAAGAGTAAGTGAGAAGGGCAATGAGTAGGGAAAGGGCAGGCTTACATACAGAATAGAAAAGGTAAAACAAAACAGAACAGAGAAAACGAATAACCACATCCGTCATCCTTTGCTCTCGCCCACCATCAGCGTGCTTTGCATCCGCTTTTTTGCCAGGTGAACTGACTAAATATGTCCTGAAGATTTCGCCACTGAAGCACATGGTATGACGGAAAGCAATTGGGATCGTGATGCCTCTGTCCCAGTCTGCTCCTCCCCAACGTCTCTCCCAACTCCTCATTGCCCTCCCTCACATCCTTTCCCTCGGCCTCCCGCGATCTCCCCCCCCACGCCTTACCACCCCCATCCCTCTTACGGGACCGCGTGGACGAAGCGCTGCGCTGCCGTACTACTAACAGGCGTCCAAGCAACGCGCGGAAAGCTGACGCTGCGGTCACTCCAGCGCCTCAAGCTGTGGAATCAGGCACTCCATCCACCTGGAATAGCCTTCGGGGCTCGGGTGGACATTATCGTTGTACAAGGTGTTGTCAGGTGCACCCGTGCCATCGAGAAAGACCCTCGAGCAGTCAAGCCATACCGCGTCGTTCAACTCCTCCACGAGGCCCTTCAGTCTGTGGTTCAGGGGCGCGACCCGCTCGGGCACAACCTCCTCGCGCGTCCTGGGCAGCACAGCGTGCAGGACCAGCGTGGCCCCTGGCCAGGCACGCTGGGCAAGGTCGAGCAGCGCCCGCACGCCACACACGGCGTCGTCAACTCCACGGCACTGCACGATCTCGCCGAGATGCGCCAGCTCCTTGGAGGAGGACGAGGAGGAGGACGAGGAGGAGGAGGAGGAGGAGGAGGAGGAGGAGGAGAAGGGGGAGGAGGAGGACAGCTCCTTGGCCTCGTCCCCGATGTTGTTGGTGCCCGCCATGACCATCACCACACGCGGCCTGGGGACCTCCTTCCAGGGCCTCCGCGCCTCGAGGCGCCAAAGCATGTTCTGCGCGGTGTCGGACGACCACCCGAGGTTCCGGTGAGGGGCGCGCTTTCCACCACCACCACCACAAGTTGGAGGGGGGAAGGAGGAGGAGGACGAGGAGGAGGAGGAGGAGGACGAAGAAGAGGAAGAGGAGGAGAAGGAGGAGGAGGAGGACGACGAAGAAGAGTTGGAGGAGGAGGAGGAGGAGGAGGAGGAGGAGGAGAAGGACCCACTCTCCCTCCAACGTATGGTGGTGGTGGTGGAAAACAGGCCCATCATCAGGTAGCGAGACGAGTTGAGTTTGCTCCTCATGTGGTAGACAATCGAGTCACCGATCCTCCGACCCGTGAGGTCCACCGCCGCGTGAGCTGTCTGCCGCTCCCCTCGCTCCCCTCAGCAAGGTCAAGAGGGGTGGCGCAAGGGCGACTCGCGTGACCATCCGTGAGGAGACGCCGGGAGGCCGTGAGATCCGACGTCACGAACAGACATACAACTATCACCGACCTCTTGGACATCATCGCTCTGCGACATTTTTCGAACCAAATGTCGATCCGTGAGGGTGGCCCGAGACAATACACCATCGCCCGTGGCGGACAAAAACTGCGACGCCAGGAGCTCAGGGGGGGCCCAAGAGGGGTACTGGAGCACTGGACCGCATACGGCGGGCCCAGGGCCGCTCACGAGGGCGCAAACGTGCAATCAGGATGGGCCAGGAGGGCCGCACGAAGCCGCAGAGACAGCCGGCGAGGCCTCCCAGGCAACCCAGGAGGCCTCCAGAAGCACACGACATGCCCCAGCAGAGGGCCCGAGAAGCTCCCGGGGGGCACGATAGCCCCCAGACAACAAAGAGCACTGGATGACCGTTGCTTTCGATTGCTCCCTCACTCCACATCGAAAGTGCTCCGAGCCGAGCCGAGGCGACGAGGGCTCTCCAGGGCGAGCAGCGGCACCGGCACACGCCCCGTCCACGAGCCGGAGGCTCCGCGCAGGACCTCAAGAAGGCCTCAAGGTGGGCCCAAGAAGGGCCAGCCGAAGAGACTGCGACGTTCCTGTTCCTCCTCCTCCTGCTCCTCCTCCTCAGACGGCCGAAGACGACCCACAAGCAGGGCGCCAGGACGGCCTGAAGGCGGCCCCCCGAGGCATCCGTGGCGCGCCCCACGGAGCGCCCCCGGAGGGGCCTCCAGAGGCCCCGAGGGCGGCCCAAAGGGAGGGCCCAAAGAGGGAGGGGGCCACGTGCTCTGCCCTCCTGCCTCGCCCTGCTCCTCCGGCCTCGCCTCCCGCCCCCGCTCCCCGCCTCCTGTCCAAGACGAAGCCAGGACGAGCATCACGTCGGGTACAGATACATCGAGAACCTCGCAGATCCAGCGGCTCTGGGGGATGTCTCGGGCGACGCGGCCTTCTCAGAGCGCTCCGGAACGCTCCGAGAGCGTTCTGGAAAGCTCCAGAACGGATTGATCCTCGTCCTAGCCCAGTCCGACTGTGCCCCCATGCTCTGAGAGCGTTTCGGGAAACTCTGGAACGGGTTTCTCCTCCTCCTAGCCCCGTCCGACCTATGCCCCTTTCCTGCCCCCTCCCCGCCATGCCCACCCGCACGCCTCGCCCCGCCAGCCCTGGCCTCTCGCCCGCGCGCGCGCCTCCCCCCTCCTCCTCCTCCTCCTCCTCCTCCTCCTCCTCCTGCTGCTCCTCCTCCTCCTCCTCCTCCTCCTCCGCCTCCTCCGCCTCCTCCTCCTCCTCCTCCTCCTCCTCCTCGTCCGCCTCCGCCTCCTCCTCCTCCTCCTCCTCCTCCTCCTCCTCCTCCTCCTCCTCCTCGCCGGGCAGCACAGGCTGCGGGAGCTCCGACGCCGACGGTGGCGGGAAAGGTCCCCAGATGGCCCAGCAGAGCCCACTTGCTTCGTCGGTAGGGCGTGGGGCTTATAGTGGGCCCTGGAAACGACAGGGCCGTTTTGTTTCCTGTTCCGTTTTGCCATTTTTGTTACTGGTTCCGACGCTGTTTTTTACCAGTTCCGTTTTTCCGTTGTTTTACCCGTTCTGGCTCTGGCTCCAATCCTGGAGCCGTTTTGTTACCGTTTCCGGTCGCCGTTTTTGTTTTCAGCTTCCCTTTTCAAGAGACACTTTTCCGGACACGATTAGAAAAACGGCCCTGCCGCTTCCGGGGCCCACTACAGTCAACCAGTATAGTAAGGATGCGCGATAAGGATGCAAGGGCCTTGGACGCTCATTTCGAAGCTCTTCGAGCGGGGCGCGGCCAGCGAAAGCGGCGAAGGATGGACCGAGGCGGCAGGGATGCCAGGGGCATCCTTGGGAAGGCTGCCCATCCTTCCTATGCGGGGTTGACGGTGAGGCGTGGGGGCGTGGGGGGGGGCGGCGCAGACGAGGGCCGCTGTGGCTCGGGCTCCCTGGCTCGAGGAGCAGAGAGACCCTCGCGACAGCGCGCGGAGGCCCTCTCACCAGCAGGAGGCCGGAGCTCACACGCCCAAAGCCGAAGATGCTTGAAGGGGCCCAGGGACACACAAAGAAATACACACAGAGAGCAGGAGCCCCCCTATTTCCCCATATCTTCTGGGGTCTTTGTCTTCCCCCACCCCACTGCCCATATTTTCCCACGTTCTCTGGGGCATCGACGATTCATTGTGTCGGTGTGTGCTTTTTCCCTCCTGGATGCTGCAAACCTAGGGGAAGCAGCACGATTCGTGATGGGTGTGTGTGTGTGTATGTGCTGGCGCGACTCCCTGCGCACAGGAGGTCGGTCTCCGGGGGCCTCGAGCTCCCGCCGCTGTCCGGCAAAGGGGGCAGGCTCCCGCGGAAGCAGTCCCCGTATGGGCTCCTGCAGAAGGGCCTCCCCCCACTGGCACGGGGGCGCGCAAGCATGAGGGGCCTGTTTTCCACCACCACCACAACCACAAGTTGGAGGGGGGACGGAGGATGAGGACGAGGAGGAGGAGGAGGAGGACGAGGAGGAGGACGAGGAGGAGGAGGAGGTGGAGGAGGACCTCCTCCCCCTCCAACTTATGGTGGTGGTGGTGGTGGTGGTGGAAATAGGCCCGTCAAAACATGGATTAGCGATCCACGGATTTGGCGGGCGGTCGCCAAATCCATGGATCCAGGGAGGTGCCCTCCCCAAAGTGCGGCCGGTGCCGCCTCGAGCGGCGGCGGGAATCCGCGATTCCCCAGGGAAACGGGGCCCGTCGCTAATCCACGCCCCCTTGAGCCATGCTTGCGATCGCATGATCTACGAAGCCTCTTCTCCTCCCCACCCTCGCCCCCGCCCTCCCCCGCCTTCCGCCTCCGCACACGTCTCCCTCGGGGGGTACCAGGGTGCGTTCTGACTGCGGCTTCGAGGAGAATCCGGCCGTGGAGGCGGGGACTCTCCAGGACGAGCAGCAGCTCCTCGTGAGTCGTCCACGCTTCCGGAGGCCCGGCGCGCACCTCAGAGGTGCCATGGGCCAGGCCCCGCGGAGCCTCGCCGTCGCTCGGACGTCCGTTCCCCGTGCACTCTTCGGCTGTGCTCCTGCCGGTCCGATGGCCGAGGATGCTCCTCGATGGCCCTCGACGTCCGAGCGATCGGGGATCTTCTGACCCGGGCCAATCCAGACCCAGGTCACTCAGTCCTTGCAGAATCCTGCAAATCCTGCAAGATCCTGCACCTAAACCCGGGTCAGCGCGAAAAATCCTGCAAGATCCTGCAGGATCCTTCACTCAAACCCGGGTCAATGCGACCCTGGCACTGCAGGATCCTGCAACATCGGGTTCTCTGGCTGACCCCCGTTTGCATTGACCCCTGTCTCAAGGCTCCCGAAGCGGTGCCACGGAGCAGGCGCCGGCCTCCCCGGATCAGGACGGAGTCGACCGTTGCCTTCGGCGACGCTGCCCTGGCCTCCACCCACTGCGCCATCCGGAAAGGCAGCAGGGGCTCTGGGGCTTCGCACCGGCAGGGCGCCCAGGTGCCGTTGCGCTCGCAGGCGCCCGCCACTCGAAGCGCGCCGTCCTGGGCATGCGGAGGGGACAGACGCGCCGATGCCTGAAACCCCAACAGCAGAAACAGCATCAATAGAAGCTGTGAGAGGCGCGCGCGGATTTCCTTGCGTCCGCGCCGGCCTCCTCACGGCGCGCGGGCGCGGAAGCCAAACCTCCGCGAGCACCTCCGCACGCACCTCCTCCTCCTCCTCCTCCTCCTCCTCCTCCTCCTCCTTTACACCCCTCTCACGGCGCCCCTCCAGCGCCGCCAGAGGTGCGGGGAGGTATGCCAGGCGCCGACCCAAGAGATCTGGACGGGCGTGCGAAGGTTTGTGCTCATGCCGGTGTTGCTCCCCATGGCCCGAGTATCGTGTTGAGGATGATCGCACCGTGTCTGCACTGCCCGCCGTCTTGTCCTCCTCCTCTTTCGCATTTCAGCGTCCTCCCTCCTTCGAATTCCGTATCAGACTCGCTCGCACTGAGATTCAACCATGCCCAGACTCATTCACTCACCCTCAGGCTCAGCCCCATTCAGACACATTCACACCCAGACTCCCTCACACTCAGCCTCACCCATACTCAGATTCACGCACAGTCAGGCCCACGCGCAAACACACACACACACACACACACACACACACACACACGCGCACGCACGCACGCACGCACGCACGCACGCACGCACGCACGCACGCACGCAAGCACACGCACGCACGCACGCACACGCACACGCACACGCACACGCACACGCACACGCACACGCACACGCACACGCACACACACACACACACACACACACACACACACACACACACACACACACACACACACACACACACGCGCGCGCATACTCACGCATACTCGCGCGCACACAAACACACTCACACTAAGACTTAGACTCAGACAGACTCAGATAAGCCCATACCCACTCATACCCAGTCACCCGCTTTACTCACACTGGTTTTCGCTTGTACTCAGCCGCTCGTACTCAAACGGGGGTCGACCTCGGGTGTTGCATGGTGCGGGCTCCGAGTGCTAGGACTTCTGAGGCAGAACACCCGCTTCGGGGAAGATACGTCATTTTTCGGAGCTACGTGGCGATCGCGAAGCAGCAGGCATGGCATCCGGGCCTCCCACGCGGGGGGAGGGGGGGGGGCAGGGGATCGGCCGGTGGTGTTCCACGGGCAAGTTCTCGCTCACGTTGGTGAGACATCTTAGGCAGAACGCCTGCTGTCGCGGAGACACGTGTCTCTCTTCAGAGCCCCTTGTTTTTCGCGATGTAGCAGACATGGCGTTTGAGCCTCCCGCGGGGGTGGTCGGATGTTCCTTTTCAAAACCCATTATCATCGCAATGTAGCTCCCAAGGAGGTTCGCCCAGGAGTGTTGCACAGGCCCGTTGCCCAGATTGGCAGGACCCCCTTGTGAGAACCCCATGATCACAACGATGCAGCAGGCATGGCAGCTGGGCCTCCCAAACGGGATCCAATCTGGGGTGTTGCACGGGCCCGTGCGCGCCCAGTATGGCGGGACCTCTCAAGCAGGGCGCTGGCTTTCGGGGAGAAACTGGGTGGCGGCAGAGAGCAGCGAAAGTCAACGGTTTGACTCAGGCTCCCCCCTCACTCACCGATGAGTCACATTCAGAATTCAGACCAGCCTACGCATAGAACGATTACTCCAAATGGCCCTGTCCTTAGTTTTCGCCTTTTGGGAGGCCTCGGGGGGGGCCCTCGTCGCCACAGCTGGACTCACTTCGGAGTGCTGGTCAGAGAGCGCCACGGGATCGGTCTGGGGAGCAACTGTATACTTTTCCCCAGCGGGGCGATGGCAGTGCAGATGGCAGTCGATGACGCAGCAGCGAAAGCTTGAAATCGGCGACGCGGAACGAGGACGACATCGACGACAACCAGGAACCAGAGTGGGCAGAGTGGGAGCGGCGGTATCTGTATACACAGACATCCGACGATGTAATTGTTTGAATCCGCGGCCACAGAGGTCCCGACCACTTGGCCATGGGCAGCTTTTCGCCCAAGATCAATTGTTTGGCGCTGGGGCCCGAAAAACGGAAACCTATCAAAAGCAACGGAAATGAACCAATCGGATCGTCGGAGATCCGGGTTTGGGGTGGTTTTCGTGTCATTACTCGGGCTTCCAACGGCCGTTCCGGGCGACCCGGGCACCGGGGGAACGCTCTCGGCGAGGCGTAGCTGCTGGAACTGAAGCCCGAGGCGAAGAAACCTCCGAGAACAAGCGCCAACTTGCGAAAGCGTCCGACCCAGAGATATCGGTTACACGTAAGAGTGACCCTGGGCAAGAGTGACCTTTGGTGCGCAGCTTTTTGGGGGCCGCGGGGGGGCCAAACACAAGCGCGCAAGACGCCACTGCCGCCTCGCGTTCGGCAATGAGAGACCCCAGTGGGCCCGCACAATAGGTCACTCCGGCGAAGGGTCACTCTTACGTGCAGTCGAAGATAGCCGAACCGAACGAATCGATCGTCGGATATCTGGATATTTGATCGCTCTCCGGGTCCTGGCCCCCTGGGCCCTCGGGCTGCTCGAGCCTCAAGGCCCACGGGCACCCAAGGGCGGCGGCCACGAGGAGGGGCCGCAGCGGCCACATGCCGCCGCGAGCGCGTGCTGCAGGGTGCCTTAGGCTGCTGAGGTGGCACGAGTGAACATCCGCCACCGTGCCTCCACGATGTGGACGTGTAAGAATGTCAGGTGCTGCTCCGTATATTTTCTTACACCTTGATCATGGATTCCCCCCCTCACTCACAGACAGCTGCCTGCATCACCACGTGCTCCTGATGCCCCTATCCT